ATAACAAACTAACTGGTGAAGCCATTGTCGACCAAGACCAACAAATTCACAAAGAATGAATTTACAATTTTTGATATCCATTCCACAAAAACGAAAGACTGCAATGCGGAAAAAACCTGACCTATTGAAGCGATGAATCAGATTGCCCTGATCTTTAAAGTCAACAAAAAAAATTTGTACTCTTCTTAGAGGAAGTAGGTAATATATTACTTTCTTTGCTTGAATAAAAAGTTGTTCTGATTGTCATTATCCTACGCTGTGGTTTTTGAAATCTCCTTTGATATAGTACAATACTAACGTTTTTAAAGTGTGCATTTAGGCAGGATTTAGGATCTAAAAGCGACATGTATGTTCCTTTTACTTCCTAAAGCAGAGGTATGCAAGTGTCATAAATTTATCTTATTAACATCTAATGCTTATTCTTTATCATGCTTTTTTCTTTTTATAGTTATAAAGTACTAACTATAATACTTATTTACTTATATAATACGATTAACGAGATATGTAGGGTATGAAAAGCAAACTTTCATTAAAGTATTTCATAAGATAACATTATCCAATATTGAGGTCTGAATATTATCCAATATTTAAGTCTGATATTTACAAATAATGAAGAAATAAAGTAAGGTAATTGCTTTGATTCGAAAGATAAGTATTCAAAAAACTTTTCCGATTACCAGGTCTAAAGGATAATGCACACCATGTAATGTAAACAACGTGCTACAAAACATCACTGTAAAATTTCATAAGATTTACTAAATGGCACAGAATTATTCGATAGAAACATAATATAGAAATTAACTGCTAAAAAATAATCAAAAGAAAGACTTGAAACCATCCCATAATTTGATAGGAGGAGATGATGTCTTTGAAAAATTCGAAAGAAGTTGAATGTGTTGCATCTTGCTATTAGGCATTTTATGGGCATTATATTCCTTTGTTAGTTAATCGTGGTATATTTTGAACGTTGAATGCAATGAATTTCTGAGGGATTTTTTTATTGGAACTAACTATTAACAGCTCAGTATGTAAGAGTTGACTTCACGTCAAAGAAACTTGTAAGAATGATAATGGATGCAAAGAAAGGTTCCGTAGTTCTTTCTGAACAACGTAATTATTATTAGTCCAGTAACTGTTAAAATATCCAGTATATTAATTTAGACTGTATTAGATTAGATACCTTTAATTTAACTACTGTTTAGCATGTTCTTAATGCAAATGTTATTCCAAAAAATGTATGTGATCCATATTTTATAAATACTCGTAACCCCTTACTATGAAAGCAATGTGTTATTATTATTTTTATTATTATTAGATGCACTACGATTTGTTTTTCGAATGGAATGTTTGTCCATTTATTTGTAGCTAATTTACTGAAAACACCCATATTGGAACTTTAATCCATTATTGTCCTAATCTAAATATAAATTATCTAACAACATTATTTCATGTTGCACAATATATGGGGAGTACTTTCATTGTGACGCAGGTGGTCTTCTGTATAAGAAGAAATGATTATAGCCAGTAAATTTTTAAAATTCATTTGTGAACTAAAAGCAGAAATATCATTAAAACGGCTTCTAAAGCTATTTAGCGAAAATCAAAAAAATTCAACAGAATAAAAGACGCAAGTGAAACTGTTGTAGTTGGTTAGAATATTGTAATTATATAAATTAATTATATTGTAATTTAATTAAATAAAATTAATATATAACAAAAACTAATATGTTTTGTTTGAAATATCAAAGTTGAATTGATTCCATAATAAAAACATACTTAAAGTAATCAGCTATAATCCTATAATGAAAAAGTTTTTCCAGCAAATAGACGTAGTTAGTGAATAATCAGCTGTTATTCAATATGTAATAATGTCATAAATAACGTTATATACTACACTTTTTAAAAAAAAACTTTAGTTAAAAGTGAAACTAATCAAAAGTACTTTGTCAACAGTTTCTGATAGAGATTCTAGGCAATTTTCAGTGAAGTCACTTTAGCGAATTTTCATGGGAACTCTTTTTTCATAATTGATATGACCAAAATATTTGACCTAAATTCCTTTTCAGCTGTAGTAATGTCTATATTATTCCGACTATAGTCGGAAACGCAATAATCAACACTCGTTGGGGCATATCTTGCCAGCAACAGTTGCCCATTCGGAAAAAGTCGCTTGTCTAATTATTTTTGCAACTTCACGCAAATGACCTCATAATCATGCGTAGCACGTGACTTCAACGTCAAAGTGACTAAACAAGAATTTTAAGTAAAACATTTCAGTTCCAGAGTTTAGAATTTTTTACTAAATTTACATAATTTCAATTCTTATGCATATTTCAGCATTTTTTCCAATCTCATCGAACGGTATTTTAAGGTACCAGACGTCGGTGGTCACCGAAGTTGCACATTAGCCGTTGTGGATATGTGCAGCGCATAATTTTGAATAATTTTATTATTCTACATTTATTGATTTTAAATATTTTATTTCTTAAGATATTTTATTGCTTTTCATTTTATTGACATTATTTTAAATTTTTTTTATTCTTGAGTTTAAAATTAACTTCGTATTATCGTCACTCTGTCATAACTGAAATACGTTTTACGTACGCAAAGTTATTTTGAGTGCTAAAAAATGAGGAAGTTTTAAACTCCACAGTTTTTAAGTGTCATTTCGTAAGTGTGAAATTTTATATATTTTTAATACATTTTTTTATAAGAATTTTATTGAGAAATGTTTAAAAATAAGTCATAATGTGTAAAAATAAATATTTTGTTTTATTTTAAGTTATTAATAAGCTTTATATTTATATCAATGCTACTCATAAAAACTTAATTTCAATTTTTAAATAAAAACAAATATGAAATAATATAATAAAATGTTTACGTTCTATAAAAATAAATAGAAATAATAAATACTTATAAATCAAATATTAATTAACATATAAATGACAACAAAATGGAATGAGTGTTTACCATTGCAGTTTCGCAAGAGATATATTATATTCTGGACCGGCACTTTATTAAGAGTTAAACATGTTCTACTCCATACAAGTTTAAGAACAAACTTTTGTACTTCCTAATTGTCAGCTTCCTGACATCAGAAAAGATATACTGTAGTTTGTACTGAGATATATACTATTTAAATTTATTTCAGCAATCATATAGACCATCAAATCTAGATTTGAGGGTAGCTTAATAGCTTCAACAGATTTCAGATATATTATTATGTTGAAGCTATTTGAGCCAGTGCACTTGAGCACTTTTACTCTTTCTTAACTCGAGGTATTTTCAAAACCCCTCTTTATGCCTTGACTAGATTATTGTTTATCACTTCATAAGTAATAATTGACCTCAGATCTGCATACGTCCCCGAGGAGCCTGTAACCATTTTGAGATTTGATAACGCGGTGTTGGAAAGTCTGTCAGTTTTCGCAAAAAATTTCAGGGCTCTATCCTTGATGTATTTTTTGATGGGATCAATCTTGAGGTCCCAGAAAATGTCATTCGTCCTAATGTACCATGGTACTTTGAAAAGTCTTCTCAGAGCCTGACTTTGTGCAATTTCTAACTGGTGAATAATAGTGTTTGAAGCTTTGCTAAACGGTACACAACCATATAGAAGTGACATATATATAAGAAGTGATATAGTTGATATGAAATATCATTTAGGAGCTAATTAGATCACACATCTATTAGCGGTTTAATATGAGAACACATGTGAAAACACGTAGTAGTAGTAGGTAAGTTTTTATCTACAAACAGTTGACTTGGGTCGATTGAGAGTTGGTCTAATTATATATATGAAACAAGGTTTGTAGAGCCTTGAAGCTTTCAAATAAATTACAAATGTTAGTGATATTGTCTTAAGTAGAATCGCTGTCCAGAAGTTTGTTAATATCCAAGTAAATGTATTTGGATTTTGCATTGCAACCTAGTGCAACTTACTTGATTAATTTTATAATTGAACCTACATCATCGAGCTTTCTTTTGCAACCAATATGAGATGCTCAGTCAGGTACTTATTTTGCTTATACATCAATGTCGGACAAAATCTCACTTTCTTTCAAGTTACAGAATGGTTCCAGACATACATGTATTCATTTATTTATTTATTTATTAAAGAGTAGACGTGAAACTTACCCAACAGCCGGTACTGCGGCCAGAAGAGTCCTATTGTACCAGTTTCACTATTGATTAAACAAAGCCTTTTAAAGCTTTGTGAATAAAGTCTAGAACTAAATCTAGAGAAGAGTTCTTAATCTGCTCTGGTGACAAAAATTCTTTATGAAACAGGTTTCTTCTGTGCGATATTAAAGCTAGACAGTCATAAAGAATGTGCATGGTCGTTTCCTCATCTTCGAGGCATAATCTGCATTCCGAGTTAGCAGATAATTGTAGTTTATGAAGGTGATATTTCAGATAATGACCATAATGACCTGTAATGAAACCCGTTATCAATCTTAAATTACATTTTGAGAATTTAAGAATGTCTTTGTAGGAGTACGGTGTTATCAGTGCTTTGCTTTCTCTGAGTCCTGGAAAGTTTACCCAGTACTCCAGCCGCATATGATTTTCCATTTCCTTGATAATCTGTTTTGTATTGGCCTAGTTTATTTCACAAAAGGGTTGAGGACCTATAAAAGCAGTTTTTGATGCAGTTCTGGCTAGCTCATCAGCTTTTTCATTACCCAAAACACCCCTGTGGCCCGAAACCCAGTAATGGCCCGAAACCCAGTAATGGCTTACCTTATTCCGAGCTGCAAAATTTCATTTTCTTTCAAGATACAGAATGGTTCCAGACATATGTACATGTAGCGAAGAGGCTTCTTTTCTTCAAATTTTGTCTTCAATTTTGTTCTCGGGGATTCCAACTGGATCCATACGATCCAGTTATTTTTAAATAGACTCATTAAACGTAGCTTTCGATATTTAGTCTCTCGCGGCATATTTGACTGTTGTATTTGTTGTTAACTGTTGTATTTTCTGGTCGCATTGAACACTAGATGCCACTAGATGCCGATACAATTCCCAATGAATCTGGTAAAGTGATTTATATTTTCCGTGGAATATTTTGGGTGAAATACTAGCCTAAGTATTTAAAGTTATTCATTACATACTGCAAGTAAATTTTTTTTATAAAATGCTTAACGTATTACTACTATATTTAATCACTAATTTGTTATGAGTCAAATAATATTTTTAATACCTTGCTAATTTAAAAAAAAATAAATACTTCCTTTTAATTTTACCATATACTTTACATTAAGTATTAATTTTTTCTTTTTTCAATTTTTAGTCTCCCGAATTGGACTATCGGCACGAGCTGATGGGTCGTTTACATAAAATTGAACCAGACGTTGAACTTGAAGTATTATCTACGCCACATAATCATCATAATAGTCACCATCTGCATCATCATCACCATCATCATCACCACCATTTGCATCAACAGCATCAGCAACAGCAACACAATCTCCAGCAGCAATTATCCACACATAGCAATCATAATAATGGCAATAGTAATAATAGTCAATTGGAACATTGGCAACATCAACATCAACACCAGCAACAACATCAGCATCAACAACAGCATCATCAGCATCATTTGCAACATCACAATAGCAATCATGAGCATACGCCATTTACACAACCCCCGCCACCGCCACTCAACACCACACAAACACATACAACAGCCAGTGATAATCCCGCCAGTTCACCTAATTCCAATTCAAATTCAGCTTACAGCTGCGCCGCTTACGATGGCACGTCAACAACATTTGATGTTGCCAACGCGGCGTACGCAGCAACAAATGCGGCGGCAAGTGAAAAGGAATATTTATTTGGTAAGTTTAGGTTTTTCATGTTGTATATGATTTGTTGTTGTAGTAGTCATTGTCGTTGTTGTTGTTGTTTTCATCAAAGATGTACTTGCTGTTGACATTTAATACTTTTTTTTTGATTTTTGAATTGTATTTTAAAACTTAGTGTGTTGTTTAGAGTTGATGTGTTTACATGACGACAACAAATTCCTTAAATCAACAACATTTACTTTCGAAAATAATTTATTCAGCTGTGAAATTTAATACCGAAAATCTGAAGAGATTTTGTAGATTTTGTAGATTTAATGCCAGCTTTAAGCCCGCAAGTGTGTTGCTCTTGCGAGACTAATGTTGTTTATTAATTTAACAAATAAAAATTATTATTATTATTATCAATAGTATTATTATTTAGTTTTTTTTCTTCTTTATGCAAACAAACATTAAATTCAATTTATTTGAAGTGAAATTGGGTTTTACTGTTTGAAAAGAGCTTATTTACTTACTTTGTCTAGAGCAACGACTTCGGTATTTCAAATTTATAGGTCAAATTCAAAATAATTACATAATTTATAATCGAATGAAGATCGCTGATATATGTACATGCATACTACACTTCGATATGAGTTATATATATAGGCTGAAGTATAGGTTTCCTTTAAAAATGATATTGCAATCAGAGTGTGATAGATACTAAATAAAGCAGATACTAGATATATAAGGTCAGACTGACTTTTCGTTAAAATTACGACACTTCGATATAAATTTAGTAAAATTATATATAGCCTATTTATGGGTTTTATATATATAAGAGATATAGTAATATCGCATATTACTTAAGTTATATGACATTTCATGTAGTATGTTATTTAGTATTAAATTGTTGTTGTGGTTTCTTGAGTTAGTGTTATGGCGCACTTGTGGCTGGGGGGTTTATTACTGCCCCACACTAGACTTTAACTATGCAGGAATTCATATCGTTTATTTATCTTAAGGAAACTAAATATCAACTTTTGTGAATAAGGGCTCTGTACCTGATATATTTTTTCACTGAGTCGATCCTTAGATCTCTGTGTATGTCTGTTGTTCTAATGTACCATGGAATCTTAAATTGCTTTATGACAGTATTTGAGGCTTCGATGTGAGCAACACATCCGTACAGTAGTGCAGTAGTACAGTAGTTTTATTTTTGAGGTTCAAGCGATTATTATTAAACAGCGCCTTAAGCAGATGTAAAATTTTACAGCAGCTATTCCGTTTGCATTTTATATGTTTATACTAATTGAACCGTTTGTCAAAGGTGACCCCCAGACATTTTGTGCTTTCCTCCTACCGTATCTCCATGACACCGACGCTCACACTTGAAGGATGCTGCCTTCTCTTTTGCGTCATGAATATAGCCTTGGTTTTGTCATTGTCAATTTTAATCTTCCTTTTCGGGAAGTATAGAATAAACTTGAGCTTAACAAAGAGGAATAAAAATGCATAAAAATATATTTATAAAAAATTTTTAGGGACGTGTGCAAGTTAGGCTAAGTTGATGCTAAACCAAATGGGAGATCTTTTGGAATTTTTTGCACTGCACAAATTTAGCCATTTATCAACACGTATCGACACATCACTACATTATCGATACAACTTAGAATTTCCCTCATTTAGAACGCAACTTAGCCTAACTCGCACACGTCCTAGATAAACATTAACTGAGGAAATAATTTGACACAACTACATTTCTTAATTTAAATTTCTTGAACTTAGTTCACTCTTATATTAATATTAAAAATAATATTTCAATTGAAATGTCAATTATCAATAATGAAATGATTGTATTTTTATTTCAAATTTTTTTAGAAACCAAAAACAAAGAGGCTCTCTGCAATCCATACTCTGACATTGATGATCCATACCAGCGTCCGGCATTGTGGGAAGATATTGCCAGCTCAATACAAAATATTGATCCAGAAAATGCTTTAATGTTAGGCTCAAATTCAAGTAATGCGCAGGTTTCGCTAGCAACTAATCCAACTGCCAACACATTATTGCCGCAAGTCAAAATGGAAGCAATCGATGATACTTTGCTCGAAACACTCTCGACACCATTGCTCAGTCCTATGGAAATTAAAACAGAGAAACCAACATCACTACATCAACAGCATACACATTTGCAGCAGCAACAACATCAACAACAGACACATCATACTTATCAGCATTATCAACTACATCAGCAACATTTATACCAACATCATCCTAGTTTGGTTGGTAGTGGCGCCGGTAATACCGGCAGTGGAGGTGGTGGTGGCAACAGCAGTAATGATGAAACCATAACACTTTTGCAATTACATCAGCAACAGCAGCAGCAACAACAACAGCAGCAGCATATTGCTGGCACACTAAATAGCAATAGTAATAGTCCTATACAATCGATACGTTGCAATAGTGCGGCTAGTAATCATAATGCGGAAAACAACAGTGCCAGCAATAACATTGTCAATGGTGATAATAGCAGTAACATTTCCTATCAACAATATGCATCTCAACAACATTTAAATAGTAGCAATAATTATCTTAATGGCGGTATAGCAAGCACAAGTGCAACATTAACTACATCAACGACATTAACGAACTTAACAGTGACAAATTCAAGCAATAACAACAATAACAACAACAGCAACACCAATCCAAATGCAACAACAAACAATAGTGGCAGCAATAATATTGGCGTCGGCTATGGTTACAGTTGGCATAGTAGTCAGGTAAGTCGTTGGAAAAGAAAAGAGTTGCAGTGAAATACGCCTTTAAGTGGAGTAGAAATGTTGCTCAAGTGGCGTTTTTGTTTTTCTTGCAACATGTTGAGATTATAATTAGAGATAAAAAGAAAAACTATTTTTAAAATGTGTTTAGCATTTTCTTATAAAACTGATAAAATTATTTAAAAAGAAATTACATATTTAAAAAAAATATTAAATAAACTTGTACTACTTAAATAAAGTTTTATCAAATATTGCTAAGACATTGAAATAAATTAAAACTAAATATAATAAAAAATATCTTGAGATATTGTTTAAAAAGAATCATAACTTCTAGGAAAATATTTAACAGAATAATATTGATTTTTGTTTAAATACTATAACTTAAATACATGCTGCTAAAATATTATTAACAAAAGTAAAACAATGTTTCTTAACCATATTGCTTATATCAATTGATATAAAAATAATTTATAAAATTAAAAAATTAATACTGAACTATATAATTTAATACTAAACTAATAACTTAATGTAATTACTTTTATAATTTTTTGCAGTCATTTCATCCTAAATACCAAATACCACCGCCATTACAAAACTCAAGCCAACAACAACAACAAAATCCACAATTATGCCCACCTGCAGCACCGTCAATGTCAACAAGACATATGTTCGTACCGCCACTAACGCCGCCTAGCTCAGATCCCGGAAGTCCGGGTAGTTCTATGGTTGCTGCTGCAGCAGCCGCTGCACAAGCAGCTGTTGTTGCAGTTGGCAATCAACAGCAACAGCAACAACATCAACAGCAACAACAACAATCACAAAACCGTCGTACAACTCCGCCACCTCCTTATGCACAACAACAACAACAGCAGCAGCAACAATTGCAACAACAGGGTCATCCACTTTCAACAATTTGTCCCAATATCATAACGTTACACCCCTCAAATGCTGCTGCTATGGTGCATAACTCAGTGCACCATTTAAGTCCGGGGCGTACACTGACCACACTAACCTCGAATGGCGGAACGAGTAGTACATCAGCGATTGGCAGTAGTAATGTAACTAATAA